TATCGATTGCAATCTTTTGGCCGATTAGGATTTCCAACTTAGGGGGTAAATGTGTCCTTTTCACTTAACGTTGAGAGCGATTACTACAAGTAAAGTGTTTTTTATAGTGCCAGACATTCATTCTTATGATGAGTTATTATGAAACATTTCTCACAAACTGCACTGCAGTCCCATGTTCTCCCTTCAAGTTTCAAAATGAAAATGCTTGGTGACTGGAATGAGGTACTGAATGAATGATGTCTGGGTACGCAAACGGATCGATAATATCAATGCAGTTTGTAAGAGTTTAAGTTGGATTTGATATTATAATTTGTAGTGGTAGCGAGCAATAACAAGAAGGATTTTTCCAGCTACCAGGGTAATCAGGGGACAAATGCTACTTCTTGGACATTATCGACAAGGGTTTCTTGACATCTCAGCTTTGACCGATCCGACAGACGATTTGTCGCCAACCACACGCAATGCCAAACTAAACAAACACGAAGGGCTTGACTGAGCTCTAGCAACTCTGAGCACGTCTGAAAGGGCTCGTCGGTTGGGTTCAGCTAGGGCATGTTCGGCTGGATTCGTCAAATTTGACAGTTTGGTCGTTCCGAACAAAGATCGCAGTGGCTCCTTCACGGTTAGGTTTACAGTTATACATTGTCGTGTTTGGTTGGTCCTTCTGTCCATTTTCCCCCCCTGGGTCAGTTTATCATTCTCACCTTTGTCCTGTGCTCGGCTCGTCTCGTAAGTCTCCCTAGTCGCAACTGGCGTCCTGGTTTATTACATGGCCCTCTCCCTCATTCTGACTTGTGCCAGGTCCGTGTCTCCCTGTGTGTTCTGTGGCTCAGTTCTGTTCTGTTTCCTGCCCAGCTCAGCCTTTTTTCTCTGCTCGTTCGGTTCTTTTTCTCTGCGCTCGGTTGGCTGAGGTGTGTTCTGTATTCTGTTAGCTCCCCTTAGCCTTCGGTTCTGTTTTTCTACCTTTTGTTTCCTCACCTCGTTCTATAGGTCACAAACAACGAGCATAGAGTGGAAAGTACTTTCGGGCTAATAACATGCTAGGTTCAGCTCCTCTGCTGTTGCATGGACACGGAGCGCATGTGCTGCAGATGATTGGTTCATCTCCATTTATAGGTGACCGGACTATTAAGCGCACCTGAATATAAGCCGCACCCTTTAAAAACAGGGAAATTGGGGTCTTTGTTATCAGACACTCCGACCACAACAACAGAACATAAACAGTGTTTTAACAGCTCCTGTATCACCAACTGACGCTTCAACATGACAGGGGCTCAAACCGCTCTCAACTTTAGCTACCGTTCTCTGCGTATATGTGTGCCCCCCCCACACACACACATATGCACACAGCCATTCACAGAGAGACTTACGCTACTATTATAACACACAGAAAAGTCATTGATTGCTAGAGGGAAATGATCTTTGTTAGCCCCGTAAAAATCCATAAATTATCTCATTTTTTTTAAATAAGCCGCAGGGTTCAAAGTGTGCGGAAATTACAGTAAATTACTTTTTTGAATTGAACATGATGATTACATAATGTTACGTGATGTTACCGCTGTGTTGGTGTCGCTGACAGTACAGTATGTGAGTTCCGACTCACCGTAGTAACAGAACCCCAGTAACAGAAGTCCAGGACCATCCGTCGTACTATAGGAATTGAAATGTACATGTACAAAAAAATACCAGATGAATGTGTTGACGTGTTTACTCTTTATTCCAAGGTTAGTAACAGTTGTAATCTATAGAGTCATGGCATAACTACTCACTACATACCTGTTTTTTCTCCCCCCAGCAAGTTAAAGGGAAAAGCCTTTAACTTGCCTTTGACTTTTGTGCTACAGTTGGTCCCAAAATTGAACAGGGGGGGACTAAGATAAATGACATGTAAAAGTCATGCAATAAGATTGCTAAATTGCTAAAAATGCTTTTATCATTTTCTACGCCATCTATTGAGGAAATGTGGGTATTGCAGGGAATACGCAGAAGTATAATGATAATATAAATGAATTATAGAATTTGAAGTGGCGCTTTGGCCCAGAGGCAATGTCTCTGTCATTGGTGTGAAACCCCAAGGTTGACCTCCTGGGCAATATTGAATCCCGGTTAGGGCGGTTGGTACCTTCCAGTGGACTCACCACCCGCAGGAACGGTGCAGTGTGATGATCCCGGTACCAGATAAGCGGATGGAAAAAGGATGGATAAATCCATAATTTGGAAACATTTGGCTGAAGCTGAACAGTCCGCATCCGGCCCCCGGGCCTTAGTTTGCCCATGCCTGGCCTGGACCAACTGTATGTACTGCATATAAAGAAATGTGACCAGGACTAATTCAACACACATGAAAGTAAAGTATTGGTCCCATCACACTTGTATCCATTCAGTACCAACATTAACAGTGGTATTGGTTTATTACAATATACTACGTTGTCATGGATCTAGTGCAGAAAAAACGTTTTGACTCGCGGGGCCGCAATGGGTCCTTAAATTTGGACGGGTAGTAAATTTGGACTGACTGACGTGTAAAAGTCAGTCAGTAAAAGCTAAAATGCTAAAAGGCTTTCAGCCTTTTCGACGTCATCTATTGGAGAAATGCGGGAGATTGCAGGGGAAAGGCAGATATTTCATGAAAATAGAAATTGGACACGTTTAGTGGGCCGGATTAAAAAGCCAAACGGGCCGCATTTAGCCCCCCCCGGGCCGTAGTTTGCCCATGCCTGATCTAGAGGCACTCGTGTTTACCCCCTGTTTTTATCTTCCTGGCAGTGTCACTTTTTTTTTTTTTTTTTTGTTTATTCTCCTTTTTATGCTCCCTTGTACGGCCTTATTCCACCATTAATTCCCCTCTCCCCCCCCCCTCTCCTTTCCCTAAACTTCACATACTTTTTTGCCAGTTTTTCTCACCACCTTGGCTGGGCTTTCACAGGCCTCCGTTAACTCCTCACAAACCCCTAGAGACTGCTGTAACTCTACCCCAGACTCACTCCGACTTGTTTTTCCTGCAGCGTTTCTACTAGCCAATTAGGGAATTATCTCTTCGTTTGCTTCCTCTTTTTTTTTTAAATTTTAAAAAAAATTTTTTTTATTGTCATGCTACAAGATTAGCGTCGGAATGCCGCCTACACTCTTCCCAGACATCACCTTGCGTGTCTCCTATCTCTTTCAAACGAAACTCCTGAAACGGGACACAATCCACATAGAATTTTCCCCTTTTATTCCTGCTCACGTCACAACCTCTATTTGAGATACATGTTTACTTAGGCCATTTCCATCCCCTAGCAAAATACACTACCATCTGCCCTTCGACATTCCTCTCTTTTACACCATACTTATGCAAGTATGCAAGCACAGCCTAGGTGGTCTAATGGCACTGTGACTAATTAGGAGCCTGATTGTTAACAGCTTCTGCTTCTACCCGTGCGATAACTACTGCTTCGATCACAACTAATGGAACTTTAAAAAAAAAAAAAAAAAAAAAAAAATAGGCAAAATAAAATCATAATAATAAAAATAAAAAAAAATTCAAAATAATTTAACAAAGAAATCATAATAATACAAAAAAAAATTCAAAATAATTTAACAAATGTGTTGTGTATTTTAAAGTTGAAAGCAGACTTAATGCTCTTCACCAATTCTCAGCCAGGCATATATATATTTTTTTTTTCAGAAGGGTATAAGATATATAAAATATCATTTTTGATGTTTTTTCATATGATGATAAAATTCAAAATGAAAAATTCTCCTCTTTAAATATTTGTACCCCTACACTCACTCGTGGTGATCTCCCCTTTCTTGCAATAATAGCCCCAGCCATGTTAGAGTGTGAAGTAATTCAAGGGCTTTTAGGACATATTGATCTGGAAAATGTGCTCTAGCACAGATGTGACTGCTCAGCCAGGCTGGGATTCTGCGAATTCTAAAAAAAAAAAAAAAATGTGCTGGGGGATTTTAGTGGCTCTCGATCCAGGTTGGCGTATGTTGCCTTTTTACATGCTTCTTAAATACTCTGTGGGGCAGAGCCTGAAAGGGTTACTGTTTACCAAAGTGCCTCATTCTGCGCAATCGAGAGGGGGCGACTGAGTGGCGCCGTCGAGTCAGACACGCAGTTTCTAAAAAACCCAGAGACATCATCAAGGAAGAAGCTGACAGTGGGGAAAGCAGCCCCCTCCCCCTCTGCTGGCATAATGCCGTCCCGTCTCCTCTGCTCGGTCTCCGTCTTTACTTTTGTCACAATAAGCAGACGGCAAATCCCAACCCATTCAATACCACACGTGCGCGCGCACGCACACACAGACAGACAGACATCCCTCCCATCCAAACACGCGCACACACATACACACACACATTTTAAAAGCTATACTTGTTTTCCGTACACAATTAGTCCGGTTCTATTTTAGCAGCTCGACGTGTTCGAACCAACACAACATATAGGCTGTAACAACCTGGCTACTTACAGACTTCACAGCAGGACTTTCTCCTTCCTCCCCC